AGAATTTGGAGAGTTATCATTGATTTGCTGTCACTCTTGATTTTGCTCGACAATCTACATCCGAAACGAAACCATAACGCCTGATTAATTAATCGTGGAGATACTTAACTTTTTATATATATATATAATCTATGTAAATGTATATATATCTATGTATGTATGTATGTATGTATTATAGAGGAGGTTTTTAGTGTAGACCCTCTCAATAGCTTCCAAACTTCCCATTCTTGCTTCTTGATTTTTCATTTATTTTACAAACTTTAAAACACTAGGTTATAACTAATCCTATCACCAATTAAATTTAAAATTTAAAACTTTCCCACTATCTTATCAATGAATCAACTAAAGGTCTGTTTAGTTCATGGATTGGATGAGATGGGATGGTTCATTCTCAAATTTTTAATCCTAGGTTGAGTCATTCTCGGATTATTAATCCAAGTTATCTAGTATTTGGTTGATTCTGAATTAGATAAGATATGTTGAGAAATAATCCTATTATGTGTTTGGTTGGAGATTCAATGAGATAGGACTACTATTTTAATGATCAAAATACCATTTCATTCTTTGTAATAAAATAATTTAATATTTTTATAAAAATTAATAAAATATTTTAATAAAAATTTAATATTTACAACTTTTATTAAAATAGAGTAGTTTGAAAATTTAAAATTATAAAGTAAAATTGCCATTCATTCGAACTCAGTCCATTCAGGCTCTTAAAATAGATTTTGACGGAGTAATTGAACCTAAACTTAAAATTCAATTAAACAATGGGCCAAATTTTGGCTAAGTTAGGGTTAAATCGATTAGAACCTAACCCATTTAAGAGATTTAAATGAATCAAAGTCAAGCCAATATAGAAGATTTTTCTTTGGACCGAACTTGGACTTATTGAAGTCCTCATTCACAAATCCCAATTGATAGGGTTATGTATTTATATAGAATTTGGTTGAGAAAACAAAACTTGGTAAGGGTAATTTAGTCCAAGAGTAATATATCCCTTTTATTATGATGTTAATATGGGCAAAATAGTCAGAATTTAAATCAATTACTAGGGGTAAATTAATGAAAATTTTAAAATAATGGGCAAATTAGTCAAAAAAATTAATATAATTAGTGGGGGCTAATTTATCCATTTATTATCATATTATTATGTAAGAATATGATTATATAATAGTCCGTATGAATTTGTACCATTCATAAGGGCAAATTAGTCCAAATATAGTTATGTTGGTAGTAGGGACAAATTAGTCAGAAAAACTTTAAAATTAATTAGTAGGGGCAAATTAATCCATTCATAGTATATTATCATGTGAGAGTAGGGTTGTATAATTATAAGAGTATAAATTTGCATTACTTATAAGGATAAATTAGTTTAAAATGCTATCATCCTATCTGTTAATATGACCTCCCCCATGGAATTATTTTATCCCTTGAATAGGGGATAAATTCAGTTAATGGGGATGTGTTATTCCATGTATAAAATACAACCAAACATAGAATGAGACAAAATGATTAATCCAATCCTGTCTTGTCCCATAAATCAAACGGATCCTAAGTGTTTCATAAACAGTTTACAATTTGTCATATAAACTTTAAGAGTAAATCTTATATACACTAACAGTGTATATACTATCACCGTTTGATTCATTACATGTGTGCAAAAATTGAATTTCAAATTCAAATTTTGCATAATTGTCATTCATCTAATATTGATAGTGTGTACACTGTCAGTGTAAGAAAGATTAATCCAAACTTTAAACTTGTTTTACTCCTTAATTAAAGAAAATACATATATCAAGCCAAACTCTAAGGGATAATTGATTAATCCCATTTTAAAATTATTCACCCTATTACATCTTTATGAAGATTGATTTGTCTAGCCAAATTCTCAAGGATATTGTGAAGATTGATTTGTCTAGCCAAATTATTCACCCTATTACTTTTTCTAAGTTTTATAGGTTTTATGTTGGACTTTTTTTATTAGGTTTGTTTTTTCAAAGTTCTAAATTTTTAATGTTGAAATTTATACTCCAACATTAAATTTGGAGTATGTAAATAATAATTATGAAATTTTATTTGCACTTAGAATAAACTTAATATCAATATCATGCAAGCATCTAGATGATTCTTCATATAGCACATGTACATCAAAAGTGCATATAAAAAATTATGTATGAATTCTAAATCAATAAATGTGTATTTAGATAATTGTTTTTGGCAGTATTTTAGCAAAATTTTGATATAAAGGTAGTGTTTTACCAAACTTACACCCAAAAGCTTACTTTTCTTCAATGATTGCAATTCTGGCTTTTTATTTAGCTAAAAACACTTTTAAAAAATGAGGTAACGAATCCCTAGATAGTGAGAGGAATGAAAAGATAATTCTAACTTTTCACATGCCTAGAACACTTAAAAAGTGAGGTAACAAATCCTAAATAGTGAAAAGAATAGAAAGATAGGACTGTAGAGTTTGGAAGGGTAGAGTTTGGGGGAGAGCTATCAAACTGGTTATTCATGTGAATTTGGACAAGTTATAAATAGGTTAACCTATATATACCTATTTAGTTAATGGTTCAAAATGCATGAATCATAAATAGATATAGTTTTAGATTGATTTCAGTTATCCAATTACCCACAACTAAATTTTATGTACTTTTTCTTCCACATTTTGTTTAACAACAAAATGGTATATCATTGTAATAAAAAAATAACCAGTTAATAAATCAATTTTCACCCGTAGAAAGAGAAAAAAACATTAAAAATTTCACAAAGGAACCTAAAACGATGATCATAGTGACTATCAAATTTTGTCACTGACAAGATTCTAAAAATAATTTAGGTGTTAATATAAACAATCAATTAGCACGTTGGAAATTTATTAGACTTTTATGAAAGGAATGGAGAAAGTAGGATAAAATTTTAAAAAATAAAGAATAGAAATTGAAGAAAAGGAAAAAAATTATTTATTTGTCTTTACAAAAATTAGAATATAATTATTAGAGTGATTTAGATTTACCCAACTAATGATTGAGTTTGAATCCACATCAAATTTAATTAGGTCAAAATAAGTGATCCAAATCTATCAATTTAATATCCACTAATTAATGAATTTAATTGGGTCATCCATTTGAATTCAATTGAATTACATACGCAAACCTATTTGTTAATGAGTGAGTCAAATAAATAGGTTACCATTTAGGGGTATAAATAGATGGAAATAATAATAAGATAGGAGACAAGTGGGCTGCAAAATTAGGTAAAAGATAGGATAATTGGGTCAAATTCGGGTAGAGCAAAGAAAAAATAGGATTGAGAGTATTGAGGAGAGGGGATTGTGAGGTGGGGAAAGTGGCACGAAGAGGGAGAACATGTAAGAGAAAAATAATAATGTTGTGTTTAGTGTGCTTTTTCTTGGTGATATTTTTCTATGTTTTTTAGTATACTTTAAGGTTTTAGATAAGATAAATAAATACAGGATAAATTATATACTCAAATAGTACTCTTTTGAATTTTTAATCTTTTTTTCATGTAACTATTATAATAATTCATTTATTATTATTATTATTATTATCTTAGATATAAACCCGTGCATAGCACGGGACACACTCAAATGTGTCATACTGTTTTCTTTTTTTTTTTTTGAGGGATTTTGGCTGCATTAACTGTAACTTTTGAAATCACATACATATATAAAATTCTGCTAATCATTACTTTCTATAGCTTAGGATCTTAAATATTCGTGAAACTATTTAAAAATAGGGAGCCGGAATACTTAAAATATAATAAAACATAAAGACAAGGAGATAGAATTAATAATGATAAATTTAGGAATCTTGGATCAGTGGCCTCTTAAGTTGAACTTTTGTATAGTTCTATCTTACATAAGTTCTATTTCATTTGATGTAAACTAGTATAATTTTGGAGTAAGCATGAATTTTAGCAACTTATACAAATAAATTGGTGTAAAAATTACAACAAAAACAAAGTTTATGGGAGTTTATACCAAAAGTAATAAGAATTATATCAACTGAAATAGTTTATCTAAAGCTATGCTGGCAGTCAAGTGTGTCGACTGGTATGACCGGTACACCCAATGATTCTCTCTTTTTTTCTTTTTTTTTTTTGGTAGGAAAAAGTTTGGGTGGTTTCATCTCTTGTTACCACCATGGTCAGAACATGTCTCCAAAATCGTACGTCACTTATGATCAGGACATTGCCTACAAAACCATAGATCGCTTATAGGAATCATTATAAATCGTCAATCAACGCAACCTTTCTATCAGCAACAAAATTTAAATACATGATTTTTTATAAGTATTTCGTCTTTATCAACTGAACTAATTTGCGTTGGCACCAAATGATTCTCTTGAAGTTCATTAGTTCACTATTCGATGAATGAACTAATAAATTCCAAGGTACATGAATCTAGAAGTAAATGAATGTAGAATGAATAGATATGAATCTTTAAGTTCGTGTATATGCAAATACATGAATGAACCTCTAGGTAATATGAAAAGGCATCTCTCTAAATTTGAGGCAAAAATCTAACAAATATTACTTGGCATGAGATAACTCCTCTGGTAAAACCATTTCAGAGAGTTAAGATACAAGTTTGTGCCTCACCCATTCCCTGAAAAAGGAAAAAACAATAAAGAAAAAGGAAAGCTTGTACCATTTACGCTTGTTTCTTCCCAAACTGGTTTTTTTTATTTTTGCTACTATTGCCAGTTACCCTGTTAGTATGGGACCTACGGAACTGGCAGCTATTTAGCAAAGGTGGTTGCCAGATTCATATTTGAAAAGCTCGAACTTAAAGCTGTGTTTGAATCTTTAATTCTTGAATATTTGCCAATCTCCTACTTAAAGGGGTGTGTTTGAATTTTTAATTCTTCAAAAGCTGTGTGTTTAATCCTTAGCACTATTATAATGGGTTTTACTATTCTTTTCTACAATTTAGGGCAGGTCAAATAGATTCTGATAAACACATGCAAAACATCTTCAATACAAAATATGAGGAGTCTCTATCCATTTTCATTATTCGATTCCTCAATAAACATTTCAAGCACTAGCACTAGAGAACATTGGTTGAATCTTCCCATGCTGAGCTGCTAGTAAAGATGATGAGGCAGGCGCGGAGCAACAAGGAGTTGGAGCGGAGTGGCTTTCATGTTTGACAACCCGGCGCTCTCAGTCATGTCAACCGGTTCATTCGAAGGAGTTGACAGTTCAAAAGCATGCAGCAAATTAGGCAAGACAAGGTGTAATATCTGTAGCCCAAAATTAATGCCGGGGCAAATTCTTCTACCACCACCAAACGGGATCAACTCAAAGTGATATCCTTTTGCATCAATAGGCTTATGAGTGGTGAGGAATCTCTCCGGCCTAAATTCCAATGGATCATCATGCCACACGTTGGGATCTCGCTGGATTTTCCTTATGTTCAGGATTACTCGTGTGCCTTTGGGGATATGATAACCACCTACAATACAGTCTTCCCTCAATTCTCTAGCGCCCCCCAATGGCTCAGGTGGATATAGTCGTAGTGCTTCTTTGATGATAGCTTGGAGGTAGACCAAATTACTAATGTCTGACTCTGAAACTCGCCTCGCCTTGCCAACCTGCAGATCTAGTTCTTCTTGAGCCTTCTTCAAGACTTGAGGGTTGTTCATTATCAAAGACAGTGTCCATATTAGCGCAACTAAAGTGGTGTCACTCCCACCAGAAATCAAAATCTGTCAAGCCCAAAAAGCAGCAAATTTTTTGAATTCATTTGCAGTTTTCTTTTAAAAAAATTACTAATATTCTAGATATTGATAAGCTGTGAAAAAACAAAATAAGAATAAGAAAAATTAAAAAGTATAAATAATTCACTTACTGTGCAAGTGGCTTTGGTGATAGTATCAGCATCGTAACCACCAACCGCGGCAATAGCTGCAGCTTCCTTGAGTGACAGCATGACGTCCATGAAGTCCCGGTGATCACTAGTGGCCTCCCCTGCCTGTTTCTTTTGACGATGTTCTTTCAACCATCGGTTGGCTAGCTGATCCATCTCTCGAGCATTTACTCTCATTTTCTTTTCATACCCTCCCCAATCCAACCATCTCAGATAAGGAACAGAGTCTGCCAGTACAAACAGCCCAGTTAAATGAAAGAATTCCCTCATCACATTTTGGCACAACCTTGCTTCTTCCTCCGTGCTAACATCTACTGCCCCAAAGAACCTTTTACCCACAACCATCCTAAGGATCACGTTTAGAGTTAAGTCCGCAAACCACTGCTTCATTTCCACCAGAACAGGGCCTGAGCCTGTTGAAGAATTCCAGAGATTGTAAAGATTTCTTGTGGAAATCTCAGTTTCAGAAACTCTGAGGTGCTTGAGGAGCTCAAGGCGTTTAGTGGAGAGTAGTTCGGTGGCAGTTAGCTTACGTATTTCTCGCCAATAAGCACCGTAAGGAGCGAATCCCAAAGCGGCGTTGTCATAATTTAGGAGTTTACCTGCTAAATAATTCGGACGCCCTGCTGCAGCTAAGTCATGGGTGGTGAATATTTCCTTTGCTAGTTCCCAGCTGCTTATAATAAGGGTTTTATGCACTCCTAGCCTGATAGTGAATGCCGGTCCATATTTATCGGCCAGGGCTGCCAAGGTTATGTGGGGAAGCTTTTCTGGACCTCTTCCTAAGAGGTGAAGGTGGCCAATAATAGGCCATGCACCACCTGCTTCTGGTGGTACCAAACCATGTTTTTTGGCATCTTTCTTGAAGAAAAAGTGGACAATGAAGAAGGAGAAAGCAAGCAGTCCAACAATAGCAGCATTTAGGTACGGGAAAGTCCAGTCCGTCATGGTTCCTAGCATAAAAAGATTCAGATACAGCTTTCTGGGGACGTTGGATTAATTTGTTGGGGCGACTAGGCGCTTAATTTGAAATAATATGTATGCGCCATATCATAATAACACAAAACGCTATGTTTTTAAAAGCGGACTGGACCAGTGGATCCAACCGGTCGAATCGAGAACCGATGAGATGTCTGGTCTGAGCAATATTTTAAATACACTTATTTAATATTCGGTCAAACCAATTAAAAACCGGGTTCAACCAAAAAAAAGTAATCGGCTTTTTTTCATTTTTTATTCTTTGACATTTTTTTCCCTTTCCTCCCTTTTCTTTGACTACAACGAACCCTTTACTCGTCCAGACAAAGCTTCACTCATTTTGTTTTGTTAATCACAAGAAGCAAACTTAGGGTGTTCTTTCCTCCTATTTTTGTGCTGATTTTTTTTCTTTTTAACTTGATTTCATCCTCTATCATAAAACCAAACACCAGCCATGCTGTGAATTTGTCACCATGGCCTCCATCTTACAACGCCAGCATGACAGGTAAATCCTTAAAATCAATTAGTTAAAAAGCAAGCAAGAGAGAGAGAGAGAGAGAGAGAGAGAGAGAGAGAGATGGAGAGAGGAAGATATATATTAAGCAAGAGAGATAAGAATTCATACCTTTGAAAGGGATGTGCGTGCGAGTGTGTGTGATTTCGATCAAAGATGCTTCCTAGCGGCTTGGAGTTGCAAAGAAATAAGAAAACCACAAGATTAAGGTTTCCTTATTTAATAGATTTGAATGCCCAAATAATTTTTAATACTTTATTTTGGCCCTGTTGAAGCTGTATTTCCTTCTACCGATCTAAACTGGAGAAGTAAAGAAAGAGTTCAACCACGTGAAGGCAGAACTCTGTAAGAAACTTGCAAGGAAAGGACCAATCTATGAGGAGCCTAGGGGTCAAGTCCTCAAAGTCACTCCGACGCTCAAGTTAGTTTCTAACTGAGCAGAAAAAATGAGTTTCTGAGTGGGTGTTATATATCTAAAAGAAATTCCTCACCTTTAGGGTTGTAGCTCTACATAAAAGATAATGAGATAGAAGATTTCTATATGGTTGGATAGACATTGGTTCAGATAATGGATTTCCATCCTTTTAAGATAAATTAGAATAGCCATTATTATTTACCAATTAAGATCACCCTTATCTTTAAGAAGTTAGAAGCATATCCTATCTTTAAGGTTCAAGTTTGAGGTCAATTCGGTTTATATCAAGTTGGGGCAGTTTCGATGACCACGTAGCATACATGCAATGTATACCTCTTTAGACCTCTTATGTTAGAAAACTATTAGTACACCTAGAAATAATTGTAATTTATAACTATAGTCTTAAATTCTAGGATTACTTTTCAAATAAACCCACCAATTTAATTCTAAATTTGTTGAGTATGCATTAAATTGTATAGATTGCTACTTGATAAAATTAGTTTATTTGTGTTTTTTTGTGAAATATTTAGAAATATCAAACACATTAATGGCTCTATATGGATATCAATTTTTTTTCCAAAAATTATTTTTGTTTTTAAAATCTACAGTAACATTCCAAAAATAATTCCAAAATACACACAAACTCAAATACAACTAAAAAAATAAATGAATGAATAAATAAAAAATGTGTTCACTCTTTTTTCTTTCACCTACTACCACCTAACACTACCACCACCTACCATTGCCACCCATCACCAAACCACCCGTCCCTTCTTCTGTCTCATTGCTCTCCCTCTTTCTCCTCTTTCTTCCTCTTCTCTCCCTCCCTCCTTGCTCCTTCCTCCTTCCTTCCTTCCTTCTCCTCTCCTTTTTTCCCCCATCACCCTCTCCCCTCCCTTCCCTCCTCATCTAGGCCAATTCTTTTTGCTGTGTGTTTTATAGTTTCTTGCAATTCAAAGCAACAACTCTAATATTTCAAATGCAATCTTGGCGCTACCAAAAGAAACAAAATTGAAAAACTTAAAGCTTCAACCATTTCTTCCTGATTTTTCACACACAACACACACCATCCCTTCAAATGGCACCGAAGAACAATTAGAACAAACATACATTATCCACTTTTACTGCTTCTTCTACTTCAAGCTCCCTTAATAGTGTGTTAATTTTGTTATGAGATACTCTGGTTGAGTTTTCAAAACAAGTATATCATCGATGAGGTGTCTGTAGAGAAGAAGAGAAAGATCACAAATACAAAAATGCCACCAGCCACCATTAGTATAAGAGCAAATTGATAGGCACTGATGCAGCAAAATGCGGGTGGCGGCGATGGAAGAGGAAGGAGGGGAAGGTTGGTGGGTAGTGAAATTTTTTTCTTTAATTTTAAAAGATACCCCACTAAAATTTTAAATTCAAAAAATATCTCAAAATATATCTCCAAAAATATCTAATTCATACGGAGCCAATATGTTTTTAAAAATTTTACACAGTATATTAATTTTTAAAATCAAATATATTCATGCATCATGATGATGTCATCCGATTTTTAGATGGGGCCGATCACAATCAAACCCATTAACCCCTGCATTTGACCAAATCACCATCCAGTCTGAATTTCAAAGCACATACCAAAAGCAAGAATGAGGCTGTGAATGGTAAAAATGAGATGGTTATCATATAAATAAGATGAACTTTGGGGGCACTTATATGGCCAATTGTATCTTAGCGGCGTTCTATCTATGCTGCATGCTTTTTTACAAGCCCTATGACACATGAACACATATTCATTTTAAGTGTAACTATTGCTAGATTAGTTTTAGGAGAGATTGGGTATTGCATAAAACGGTTCGTGCTAATTTCGAGATAGTAAATATATGTGTCTTTATTCCAACTTATCTAGACATGCCAACAAGCCTAGCACCATTTGATCATAATGTGTCAACAATTTTTTTCTCAACAAAATCATGACTCTCTCACACTTTCCTTAATCCTCATCCCCCTAATTGCACCACCTCTAGCATTTTCTAGTGGCTGATGCCAGAAGTGTTGTTGCATTACTGCGCTCGGCTACCTTTCTCCACACTCTCGGCTAATTGCCGACTCCTTCATCCTCAGATGGACTCCCTCAAGCCTAGGTCTAAAGTCACATATTGTTTGGTTCTCCCAGACTGGATCTGTGTCCTTCCTTCATCCTCACGCTTGCTGAAAATGAGGAAAAATGATAGGTGACAAGAATGAATTGTGTTGCAAAGAACAATTTCTTCTAACCTTCATCCTCCTCCCCAGCACCACCACCTATTAAGAAAGTTAAGAAATTGCGTTGGAAATATTCGGTAGATGAAGAGGTGATTTCTGGTTAGGTAGTCGAGCCGACCTAATTCAGCTCCCTCTTTCGGTGCTGTGATACGGAGATAAGGTTGATATTCCGGAGTGAGAGGTAGGGCTTCGTCCCCTAGGATCACTCCGACGATCAAGTCAGTATATTGAGGGAAAATGAAAAGTAATGAACAGTATGAGTGCAACAGTGTGCTTACTTGTGAAGAGCGAGCAGGGGGTATTTATAGAGTGGGAATGGACAGTACAGGACGATGGGTGACGGGACTTTTATATCAATTCAAGTTTAAATCTGATTTTACACCCGTTGGACTGCAAGTATACAGGTCGAAATTGTAATACAAGGTGTGTATTGGGTCGATCCCACAAGGAGCAAATTAACCAATTACTAGATCCTCATTTTCTCTATTATTTAGACTATTGAATGAATTTGAGCAAAGAAATGTAATACAAATGTCTACAAATCTGATATGCAATTCTATTTTAACAAATGCTAAATTCAAATGGAGAAATTTCACTTAAGGAAGACTTTAGGAATGTAGATTCCACTTATGGCATAAACAATACAAATGAAAGGATTTACCTCTTGTTATTATTCTTGTTTAACCAGAGATTCATTTCCAAAATTACCAAGTCTCATTCTCATGATGAATTGGCCTAAAGTAGTTCAGTTCTCCCTATTTTCATGGTGAAATACTGGTTCTACTCTATTTTCTTTCATGAAATGCTAAGTAATCCACTTAAGTGTATCTCTATTTTCATGAACATACAACTTAATCTCTACTCATGTGTTTCCATTGTTACTACCAATTCTCATTGAACAATAACAACTATAAACATGCTATTGGTGATCAATCAATAACAAGTAATCACAGCTACACAAGTAGACAAGTTAATACAAAATATAACAAGTGTAAATCACCTTCAATTAGTATTATGTAGCCATAAGTTTCATCTACTCCCTAAATTAAGAAGTTTAGCTACTCATGAATGAGTTAACAATCAAACTCACAAATTTATTAATGCAAAATATCATAAAGTATAAGTACAAGAAAGATAATAGAAAGCTTAGCCAATTGATGGTGAATCCCTCCAATTTCTGCTATGTTCTTGTATAAGATGATTACAAGTGAAAACTCCAAATGCTTCTCCAAGAACTCTTAGCTAAAGAGAAACTAGTTACAAGAAGGAAAACTAGCTATGTATGGTGCTTCTGGCTTCTCCCATGTGTTTCTGCATAAAAGGTGGTAGAAAGTTCTTTTCCTCTCACTTCATAATTTCCTCCACTCAAATTTTGTAAAAAGAAGTCAAAGATATGATGTTTCCTTTTGTCTACAACTCATTTAGTCTTCTCTTTTGTTGCAGAAGTATGTGCCACCGATTTTTGTCCCTTAAAATAGCTGGAAAAGTTGTGAGAAAGGTAAAGAAAAACGGCTGTGCCACTTGCTAAAGAGAGAGACAGATCCGAGGCTCGGATCCGAGGGGTGAAAATGGATCCGAACTCGGATCTTCAGGATCCGAGAACTTCCTATGCTGGATCCAAGGTCGGATCGTCTGACCTCGGATACATTGCTCCAGAAGTACAGACGAGGGTTCGGATCACTCTTTTGATCTCACGGATTCGAGTTCGGATCCGTGCCATTGAATTTTCAGTTTTTCACTTCTTTCCTTTTTCCTTCATTTTTGCTCCTAGTTTCTCTTGTACTTTATCCTCTGGACGATCCTTACATTTCTTTCAACTCGTGCATGAATTTCATCCATCAATATCCTTCACAATTTCACAAGATTAACGTATTAATCCACTCATTTATCAAGTTTTGAACACTTAAACAATATTTAAGCAATTATCACCAAAAGAGTTCAAATATGGTTTTAATCTTCTCAAAACATACCAAAAGTTCATACCAAATTTATACAAAATGCATGTTAAATATTCACTTATCAAATTCCCCCACACTTGAATCATTGCTTGTCCTCAAGCAATTTCACACATAAATTACCACAATGATTCAAGAGATAAAACAATATATATACTTTTGTCAAATTTAATTCCTCAAAACCTAGAAATTACTTATTATGCCATTTCTCAGATTACACTAAATACTCATAATATTCAATTAAAGAAAAATAATTATGCCTTAAATTCAACAAATTCAACTCCATCCCTCATTTTATCCTATTTTCACAAATAAGTAAATCACATAGTCAATTCTATGGCCTTCCTCATCCTATGATCATCAAACTTTAACAATTGAGAGGGATTTATTCAACTTTATTTTACTTAAATAGTGAAAACGTCTTTTTACGCGAAAATCGACACTTTTAGGTGAAGATTCCCGGTTACTCAATATTTCACTTATTCAAATTGCTAAGCATACTCTTAATTCCAATACCTTTTTACGCGAATGTTGACCTTTGTAGATGCCAACCCCCGGTTACTCAGTATGTGAATCATTGGAGTAGAAAATTAATAATTTTTTTTTCTTTTTTTTTCTTTTTTTTCAAGATCTAACATATAATTTCTTTTCCCTCTAACATAATTAAAGGAAGAATTTGACCTTGTCTTGACTATATCAATCACTTACATATAAAATTAAGTAAAAATGAGAAATATCATTAATCATGCAAAATTCTAAGCATATTTTTTCTTATTTAACCGAATATACTTTCTAAAATGTAAAAATCCTAATTGCATAATAATTCATTCCAAACAAAATGAGGACTAAATCTTCCCAAAATACATATAATATTTTATCCAATGAAAGAATTAGGTACTTAAAATTGAACATTTTGGCCATTAATTTGAAA